TAATGAGCAATGATAATACTGTATCATTTGTGTTGGTGCCATTTCAACAAGATAATCTAATCTTTTATTGAATGTGGCACGAACATGGCTGCTGTTGCAAGTGAGTAATACGAGGTAGTACTTTATTGCATGCAAGTTCAACATGATCACACTTCATGTTGATTTGAAAGCAATTCTTGGGTTATACTCAATCTTGTTCCCTGAACCTGCGATCCTCGGGAAGGAACGTGAGGCTCTGGGATAATCCGTTGCCGGAAGCCAGGAATCCTGGCTAAGACCAAACTACGCATTCTATATCAACGGCCAATCAGATTCCTCCCTGAAATGGATTATCCCAGAGCCTCATGTTCCTTTCCAAGGATCGCAGAGGCTCTGGGAATGAGATTGGGGTTCTACTATGGCATTTTGCAGTGAATCTGATGGGGGGTCAACCTAAAATGTATTGATGCTTATGCTGTACTGAGCAAATGATACGAAATTGCACATATTTGCCACCAAACACAAGGCCAACACATACAGTGAACAATTAATTCACTCTGATGACTGTGTCTCGATTTAGAGTTGACCCCCCCCCCGTCAAATTTATGACGTCATATGAAACCCAAGAATAGAACTTCTAAACTATGGCTTCTCATCACACGGGGTCATATTAAAAACCTTCTCATCACACAGGGTCATATTAAAAACCGTGTTTCTAATACTGTGGCATTGTAATTTGTAACATGGTTCATAACTTATAGTTTATCATTTATGCACATATCAATGTTAAACCCCAGAAGGGGGGGGTGTGTGGTCGGGCATATGTGGGGTATTTGATCATCAATTGCATCCCCACCCTGGGGATTTTGATTAGCATTTTGGCCCCGAGTTGAGGCAATTTGAACCGAATGACTTTTATTAATATAGTATTTGACCAATATTTATTGCCCGACGGTGGGGCATTTGATTGAAAATTTGCTAAAAAAATCAAATGCCCCACCTATGCCAGACCCCTCCCCCCTCTGGGGCTTAACATTGATAGGTGCATTAATCACAGTGATTTAATGATTTTTGCTTCGTTTTAAGTCCTTTCGTAACGATTTACTTTTCGTCTGTTTTTCCTTTATTTTATATTTGCTAATATAGTCCCTTGCATAGGAAAATGAGCGAACACGAATATACAATTTCACAATGTTTTCCAAGCATAACTTCTGCGTAGAGCTTGATTCTTCTATGCCAGATTCCAGCACAATGTTCTCCCACAGTGATTTGACGACCGGAGAGCTTAATGTTGACTCGCAAATGATCTCGGTAGGTATATTTCTCAACACTAGTTCGCCTTCACCAACATTTTTCCTGAAGCAAATCTCGGCTTCTTCCACGATACCCATAAGATGATGGCTAGGAGAAACAAGACCTCCTCTGCTACGAGCAAGGATAAAATTATTGTCCGATTCAGTCGACTTTAAGGCCTGTAGTAGAGCTTGCAATTCCTCGTCACATTCATTCTGATTCTTAGATCTAGTCTTCTGGTATAGCTTTGAAACTATATACCCTGCGATGTAGGAAAGAGGGCCACGTTCTGATGGGTCAAGTTTTAAATCACTAGTTGTAGTCGCCTTTTTACGATGTTGGCAAACCTTGAAAAATCCAGCTAAATGATCTGGTATCTCTATCATAATTAAATTCGCAGCGTTAGAATCTGGACAATTTAAATATTGTCTCGAATTAGGGATCAATCCGTAGAATGCTTCAAGTAATTTGTCTTGGTTTCTTTTGCGACAAAATTTATCATACAACGGCAGTACAGCATCAAAAAAAGCTTTGTTGCAAGAGGCATTTTTAACGGCGTTATTTATCTCAGGACCAACAAGTCTTCAGCGATCAAACGAACTTTGATTGCCTCGACAATGCCAGCTAGATTTTCTAATGAAAAAAGATTGACTTCTGTAACTTTGTCCGATTCGGTTGGCATATTGACATTTGCTTCGCGGTGTTTGGAATTCGTGTGTTTTGTTAAGCCACCTTTCGACTTACAAACTTTATTGCAATACGAGCAAGGAAACGACTTCTTGCCTTCAATTTCTGTTACGGCTTCAAGAAACTCAGCGTCGAGTTCGTCCGTTTCTGTGTCTAAGATCGCGAGCGATACATTTAGATTGAAATCCTCGTTTGACTCCTCGCCTATATTTTCTAAATCTTCTTCGGTGATATCCTCTGGAAAGTCCTGAATGTCGCCAATGTCAGCTTCTTGATCGATCCCCGCCATAGCCTTTGTTTTTCTTGCCTTCACTGCGTGAAATGATAAATATTTTCGAACGACAAGTTGGATTGTAGCAAATTTCACTATATCGCCATATTGTTTTTCACTCCTGGCATACCGCTTATTGATCACGTGACAAAAATAAAAATTGGTTCCCGACATAAATTTCTGAGGCCTTTGAAGTTTGCCGGCTAGCCTAACCATCCCCCTTCTATTAACTGTGGTCGAGCTATGGCTTGTTTAAAACCGTATAATAAACGAAGAAAAACGTGATATGAGAATGAAATTAATTTTATATACCTCAAATTTTCTATCCTATGTTTCTTAATGTAAGTAACTTCAGCGGTCTAAGTTCAAAATACAAGTTCGCGAAATTTGACAAATTTTGAGAATATGTAAAAATAGCTTGATTTTGAACTGTATTTTTTTTAAAATAGCCCGTCGCCTCAATTTCAAATATAGCTAAAAAAAAAGAAAAAAATTTTTGGCGTTTGTATAGGTATCAAACTTATCGTCAGCAAAATAGGGGCTCACATTGTTTTAGCTAAGTCTTTGAGACCCAGTTGCTTCGCACGTGTTGTGGTCAAATTTTTGCCAAGAATCAAAGGCCGAAATGTGAACTTCCTAGGTAAGGGGTTGCTGCATGCATCCATTTCTAGTATTAATTACTATAAGTTTAGCAGGCAAGCCACATATACGCGTGCATGCATGCATGCTTACCTATATTTTTTTGTACACTGAAATGGCAAAAAATAGTTGAAAGATTAGTACGTTTAACTACCGTATATATACAAGAAGAAATTTCCGAAATTTATACGGCATGTTGGTATGTTATTTTGAATTTTATGAGCTTTTATCTGAAACGCTTCGTAAAAAGTTTTGAAATGTTCATTCAATTAACTGAAATACTTTTGAGGATAAACTGTTTTTAATAACTTAATTAAAAAAACAAAATAAGTTTTATTAATTGTTGAGTATTTTCAGTTTGGGTGTTTAAATTTGAATTTGCTCTCCTTTACATTTTATTTTTACAAACCAAACAGGCTAATTTATAAAACTTACAGTTACAGCTACATTGAAAAGGAAGCAGTGCATGTTTTATGCCAAAAAATAAAGCAATAAAATTCATAAACATTGCAATAAATATTGAAAGCAATATGGCGTTCCGTTCCGGTCAAAATTATTTCAAGGCAGTAAGTAATCAATCAAACATCATATCAACATGTTATAACTCTCAATATAATGTTGAATAATATCAAGATAAAAGTTCAAACTCAAAAAAAAAATATAAAACGAAAGTTTAAAACATATTTACAAAAATTCCACATGATTTTACATGTGTGAAATTTCACATGTGAATTTGGAACATGTGATTGTGAAATTTCACATGTGAAATTATGTTTCACATGTTCCAAATTCACATGTGAAACTTCACATGTGAAACTTCACATGTGAAACACATAATTTCACATATGTTCACATGTGAAAAGTCACATGTTCCAAATTCACATGTGAAATTTCACATGTGAAACTTCACATGTGAACACATAATTTCACACGTGTTAACATGTGAAACTTCACATGTGAAAAATCACATGTTCCAAATTCACATGTTCCAAATTCACATGTGAAATTTCACATGTGAAACTTCACATGTGAAACACATAATTTCACATGTGTTCACATGTGAAAAGTCACATGTTCCAAATTCACATGTTCCAAATTCACATGTGAAATTTCACATGTGAAACTTCACATGTGAAACACATAATTTCACATGTGTTCACATGTGAAAAGTCACATGTTCCAAATTCACATGTTCCAAATTCACATGTGAAATTTCACATATGAAACTTCACATGTGAAACACATAATTTCACATGTGTTGACATGTGAAACTTCACATGTGAGATATCACATGTTCCAAATACACATGTGAAATATCACATGTTCCAGTTTCACATGTGAAATTATGCAAAACTTCAATCATGCACATTTAAACCTGTCAAACAGTGAGATACTGTAATGGTATATATAGGAAGAAATAACTTATTAAATACAGTTAATTTCTACAAATATTTAGCTACCATACAAAATAACTTATAATAAAGAAAAAACTTAGCAGTTCAAATGTCTTCTGCAATATTTCTTCTTTTCGTATCAGCATTTCTTTTGTCTTTGCGCTTTTGGGCCATGGCAGCTTTCACTGATGAAGCTGTTGCTCCCGCAAAACGTTTAGTCACATGAGCTATAAGAAGGGAAATACAAGACTATCGTTAGCTCTACATATTTCATGTACTGTAACTCCAGTCAGTTAACATTACAGTATATACAGTAGCACGGGTTCACAGTTCGCATGCAGCAATATGAGCAATTCCCTCCTGTCCAACCTATAAACTTTGCACATTATTACGAATGGGAAGACCTAATGTAGTAGCACAACCCAACCTTTGGTTCAAGTTGGTTCTAGTATTATCATAATTGATAACCCTTGGTTCATATGGCTTTTACCCCAACTCCTCCCCAGTAATGTATTCTCTGTGTGGCAAATTGGAAACTGCTGCAAGGCTATCTTCTCAACAAGTAAAACTGTAAAATTTGCTGGCATTAGACAGAGTAATATAAAGCAGAGCATATTGCCAATGAATGGGTTAACAAGAGAGATATGCACTAGATTTGTTAACAGACATCTCTACAGCACCTCTAATATTTTGCGAGGTATCTGCTACTGGTTGTTGGTATTTGTGATTTAATGTGCTATTGGCTCATTCCAGAAAACATTGAATAGATTCATAAGATTATGATTTATCCTTAGTTACATTGGAGAGGAGTGCTACTTGTTTCAGTAACCCACTGAGTGATATCACTGACAAGTAAAATCATCTGACATTGGGTCATTCCAGAGAACATCGATACCTCCCCCATGAAGGAAATTGGAAGTTACTGTAACCTCCTATCCCTTTCGAAATTCGAATGTCCTAATACATTTACTATTATCAGAAACAATTTTTCTCCCCTACCCTCCAGATGGTAGAAATTTCCTCTGTGCATAGGGGAGAGTGGATCTTTTCTGGAACGACCCATCGGACAGAGTAAAACAATAAAGTTGTGGCACAATGCAGCTTATGCATGTCCAGCCTAGTGTAAGTGTAATATCCAGTTAATACCCCATCTTAATGACCTCCAAACTTCTTGAGAAGTATTCCTGTTTTGGTGGGTTAATATGGCCATGTGTCTAGTGAACCCATTAAGTTGTATTGTATACTTGTGTATCCTACTTCCTTATTTTACTGTCTTTTAAATGTCTTTAACTTTTGTACTGCCTAATGCCAGACCATTTTACTCTCAAGGCTAAGTGGATTATCAAGTATGTTGGTGCATACTCTTGTAATTAATGGTTATTTATATGTTAATTCAATCTAGCTTTGGATGCACATGCATGTAAAAAGAATACGTCTAGTTTTATGCTGTTGTAAGCTTAGACTGTTTTTATAAAGTCTGTAGTAATTATCCAATCATTTGATCCATTTAATTATAATTAAATTGCTTTTTAAATAATTATTACAAAGTGGCTATATCTTCAGGCCCGTAAACAAACTTCGCCAGGCTATATTTATGGCACTCTCATTCTTAGTCTCCACACAGGTTGTATTTATAGTTAAAGTCAAATTCAAAGAAAACTAACCCTAACATCTATCCCTAAAAAATAAAACTAATCAGAAAAAAAGACATGTTTAGTTAAGGTGAACAAAAACCTGTCCCAACTCGGGTTCGAACCACAGACTACAGCACAGCAGCCATGTGCTTAACCTTCTGATCTATTTTTGAGCTCGCTGAAATCCTTCATAAACAATAAATTTTATAGTGCTGGTTTAGTACTAATTTTATAGTGCTGGTTTAGTTTGTTGTAAGCCTGTAAATTATAAAAGCCTGACAAAGTCTGTTTAAGGTTAGATATACTGTAGCCAGTAATGATTTTTCTGTGTTGGTGTAATGTACTAAGGAATATGATGCTTGTGATGTTACTCTGAGTGTATAATTGTCCACATCAGCAAGCTTAATTAATTAAAAAAATATGCCTGATCACGGTGGGAATAGAACCTGCGACTTTTGGAATACTAGCCCAATGCTCTGCCAACTTAGCTACGCGGTCAGATTGGTTCGAATATGGGATATTTCAGAACAGAATCTAGTTCCTTCGATATCAATGAATCTAATAATCAGTAATGATTTTTCTAGTTCCTGCGATTACATTCATTTGATATCGAAGGAACTAGATTCTGTTCCGAAATTTCACATATTCGAACCGATCTGACCGCATAGCTCAGTAAGTCAGTAGGCAGAGCATTGGGCTAGTTAGTATTCCAAAGGTTTCAGGTTCGATTCTGACCGTGGCCAGGCATATTTTTCAAGCTTGCCCGGTGTGGACTGGATATACACTCAGAGTAACATCACAAGCATCATACTGTAGCCACTTTGTAAATATTATGACACCGCCGGCATGATCCAGCATGCAATATGAACTCTATCAACTATTTAGTAATTAAAGTGAATTAAATATTCTACTTCTATCCTAGACAGGATCCCACCTGCCAGGACAAGAAACTCTCATATAAGTATTCTATCATCCCTGCCAGGTGGGGTGTATTCCGTCTATATTAAACACACCATCCTGTATTAAAACCTACTGTCCAGTCATGCCATTATCATATAAACAGGCACATATATACAGAGTAAACTCTAGAAGGGTTTACCTTTGAAATCCTTCAAGCTCTATACTTTTTTACCATATTGCGGGAAACACTAACCACTTAGTCGTAATGCGCCCTGATGCAATCAATAGTCGTGTTTACACTACCAGCCTTGGCCTAGGCTTGTGGAAATGGCAT